ATGACTGGCCTAGTTTTACCTAGGCCGAAGGGAAGAACCTGATATTGGTACACTTCGCCCCCGAAAGCGAACCTCAGGGACTTCCTGTGTGGAGGACGGAAGGCTACATGGAAGGACGCGTCGGACTGAATCTGTGACACAGTCTGTTTGAATGTAAGCATCCATCCTTCTTTGGAACAATGAAGTAACGGCTGTAAACCCCTGACTCCCTACTGGGAGGAGGAACCCTTTCTATACCCTCCTTTTGCAGAAGAGTCTGTACTTCTTGCTCCATAACCAGAGCCTGCTCGGGGTCCACCACGTAGGGAGGACCCCTAGAAATCTGGGCAGAAGAACCGAACTGAATTCTGAAACCATTTCTATAGTGAGCAGGACCCAACGAGATATATTTGACAGTAGCTTACACGCTGCCAAAAAATCTAGTAAGGGGACCAGTCTCTCGAGACTGGCCTCTGGTATTGGTCGAAAAGCCACTTCAGTGCCCTGTAACAGCGAACCGGCAGGGAACAACCAAACTGACTGTTCTACGACCCTCCTCGGAGGATCGTTCAGGAACGCTGACACCTCGGTGCCCTGAACCAGCGAACCAGCAGGGAACAACCGAACTGGCAGCGCTGCGACCCTCATCAGAGAGTCGCTTCCCAGGAATGATTACATATCTAGAGCCTGCTCGGGATCCACCCTCTGGTATTGGTCGAATAGCCACTTCGGGGCCCTGTAACGGCTAACCGGCAGGACACAAACCGAACTGACTGTTCTACGACCCTCCTCGGATCCGAGCCACGACTCTTTCTGCAGCCCTGTAATCTACGCGCTTCCTTGGCACACGCGAGATCGAGTCACATAAACTTTATTGCAGACCCGTAATCTACGTGCTGCCTCGGCAAACGCGAGATCCGAGCCAAATCTTTATTGACTTTCTTCCCTCGAAAAGAAAGCCAACAAGAGCAGAGTGAAAACTCTCGTTAGTGCATTTTTTACACGTCGGGAATTTATGAATGAACACTGTAAGCCCCAATTTACCAGAGCTGACCATGCATGCTCCACTCTCAAACAAACAACACATGAATCACGTGTGTCCCCACTCGTAATGAAGCGAGGGCAGGTACGAACACACGATCCAAGGCTGTTTGCTCTCCATACTCCTGTCTAATATATATATATATATATATATATACGGTATATATGCTTGTGGACAGACAACAATGAATAGACAGAGACAGAATCACACAGAGCGCTTGCTGAAGGCACAGAAGCTAGCGTGGTCTGCTTTCAGGTGTGCTTTATAGTTTCCTGGTCGATGACGTCACCCGCCTATTATGTCTCGTCTCTCCATTGGACTGATTATACACGTGCTTCACGACGCAATCACACAGGGGCATTCCCACAGCGTCTCGACGCAGCTCGAGTTCCCTTGAAAGGGAACCAAGTTTACATAACAAAATTTGCTTCTTTTTTTTTTTTTGTTACAGGAAGCAGAATATATTGGTTATCATTATTAGACAGGGGCGTTTCCTCTGAGGAGGCAAGGGAGGCAGTGTCTCCTAAAAAAACTGGATGAGAAAATAATCGGTATTGCATCAAATAAAACAGCACAAATATTACAATATGTGACATTAAAAAGTGTAAAAGTCAGTCGTTTTTATAAAGGAACAGTGTCCAACAGCGACACCCGCAGGTGGAGTTACAGTGGGAGGTGCGCCTCCTCTGTCCCAATGGACTTAGTTCCCCCAAAAATTTGTTAGTTCCCCCAAAAATGAAAATGAAAATTCTGTCAGTAATTACACCCTAATGTTGTTCCAACCCCGTAAGACTTTCGTTCATCTTCGGAACACAAATGAAGATATTTTTGATTAAATCTGAGAGCTGTCTCACTCCTCCATATGCTTCTATTGTAATTAAAACCTGCCGGCCCAGAAAGTTAGTAAAAACATTGTTAAAATAGTCCAAGTGACTACAGTGGCTCAACCTTAAGTTTATCAAGTGACGATAATACTTTTTGTGCGCAAAACCCCCCAAAAATAACGACTTTATTCAACTATTCATCTTCTTTTGTGTTGGCCTCTGAGTGAGTTCACGCAATGTAACAGCGTAGCGCTTTTGGGTTGTACGTCAGAACGTAGGCTCACTATTGGCCAGTATCACACACATGACCAGCGTCGGCCAATAGTGAGCAATAGTGAGTTATGACGTACAACACATCTTGATATCGTCAAGCGGGACATGAATGTCTTTAACATCAACCCTGACCGATGGCATCACCTTGCGGAAGACCGGGGAGCTTGGCGGTCTGCGCTGACAGAGGGCACGACTCTGTCCTGCCATGCTTACACCAGCTTTTGCACAGAAAGACGGCATGTTAGACACCGTTCAGATCGGCGCTTGCGCTGCAAAAGGCCTTGATGATTACATAGTTATAGGAAAAAAATACAAAATAGATTTGTATGTGTTCTCTCTTTTTTATGTATGTTTATTTAACCAGGAAAATTAAGTGTAACTGACATACATTTATATTTGATATACAATATATAAAAAATGTGAGAACTTTGCCTCATTTTAAAACACCACCGCACACCACTGATATTGGAGAATATTAATGTTGGTGCTGTGTATATAATTTTTATAGTTGATTTTAATTCCACATGTAAAAGGAATCAAGTTTTTTTCAAACTCTTGTCTTTATAATAAAATTAAAAAAACCTTTCCTTTGGCCGTCGTACATTTTCCCAAAGCCCATTTATTTGATAGTACATTACAGATTTTATCTCACTTTCTAAATGGTAAAAGCCTGTTTTTGCATTCACTTGCACTGCATTTCCACTGTGTTTTCATGTAAACATCTACCAGACAGATGTGTTTGACCATTCCACTCACATCTCTCCTCATTTGCAGCATTTTTTTGTGGCGCTCAAGTTAAAAAAAGTTACATTTTGTACAAAATAATACCAAGAACTTTTTTCATTCTACTTCTCCTGCGTCTCCCTTTTTTAAAATAAAAAAAGGCCCAGACACCGTTAAAAAAGTAAAAAATTCTTCCTAACATACATTTGCATTATGGCCTGTTAATATGTTGTGCTCTTGAAGTAGTATCAGAGTTATAGAAAAAAAGCGATCTCGTCTTTGTACAGCGTGTACCGAAGCAGCACTGATTCTGCTTACAGCTGTGATGCCATTTCCAGCTGGTCCGCTCTCCGTACCTTCTCGTCGAAAGTCCTGTAACCCCACTTGACACAACACTCACAGCGCACATCAGTGATACCCCACGTATACGCACACAAAGTTCTTCCTGCAATGTCCCTGCAGCTATTAGAACAGTTCATTAGCCCAGATAAATGACTGAGGCTCTGACTGGCCTTCTAGCGCTGCTGCTAAAAAGAGCTCACGTCTCTGCCCATTAGCCGGACATGGCGGACGATGACAGCAGCAGGACCGGCCTTGTCACACTGCATGGGTCCCGAGATGAAGCTCACACTAACTGACGGCTGTCAGTGAGAGCACTCCCCGCTGTTAGCACTTCCTCAAGGCTACTTCTGGCCCCCAACACACACACACACACATTTAGTGTCATCATTCACAGCAGGAGGCGCTCTGTCAGAATGAATGAAACTGTGTCTGCCTTAATGACAGGCATGGTGACGGCACCAGTATGTCACGGCGAGGGTCTCACGGATGTGGTTGGATGAGTTTGAGTCATCCTCGTGATCATTATCTGTCTAGTAGAGGGTAGAGAGAGAGAGAATAAAAAAGAACAAGACAGAGAAAGAGAGAGCAAAGACCCTCTGGCTTATTCTGTTCTACTGCTACCCACTCCCCCAACACTTCAGCTAATGACTGTATGCTGCACTTTAGATTTCACCTTTATAATTGAGACATAAACATATTTCAGCAGGATCATATGGGAAGAGGCTCTTTTTCAGAAATGTATTTTCACGAAGTAAGCCCTATACGGACAGGACTAGTTTTCTAAACGACATTTGAGTTACAGTTTTTATCACTCGACGTTTGTGATTTACCGATTCAGACCGGACTAAAATCTGAGTGTGTGTTTTCTAGATGTGGGCATTACAGAAGGTCATGAGGTACATCACGTATGAAGTATGTTTTTAATTGATTATTTATTGATATAATTTTAATTGATTATAAAACCCTATTTAAGTAAACTTTACAAGAAGTGGCTGTTTATAATAAACCCACATAAGGGAGCAACGAAATCTAGACAAGTATCTCACCTGACGATTTGGCTCTATTTATTAATTTTATCATTTTATTTTTTCATCGGATTCCATCCAAATTGAAATGAAATGAAAGCATCCCAAAGATTGGTGCGCAAACGGTTGCTCAAGTAGGTCAAAATACAACGTCAGCAATCACAAACATTCGCATTCAGACGGGATTAGATTTCTCAGATGACCGTTGAGTTAACCTGTAAGACAGTAGGTCATTTGCCCTGGAATTTTTACAAATGTTGTGTGAGGAAAAACAGACTTGGTAGATTCGGACCTGATTAAAATCGCAAAGTACGTCTGTGAAACACGAATTTCTCTAACATCCCCCTGGAGAACTAGTCCCGTCCGAATAGTTTGACAAGATAATTGACCCTGATAAATTCAATTTTATATAACAGATTTTGATTTTACTTTCTTTCTGATTGCTACATGCCAATTATCACTATATTTAAGTAAAGAATCATTTCCAACATGCAATAGTGTTATGCGTCATTATACAATTGATATAGCAGTATCAGAGTTATTGAAAAAAAAAATCGCTCACTTTTCTACTCCACACCACTCTCATAATCTGTTACTTTTGATTGGACATCAATTTAAAAAAAGAAAAACTTGTTTTTCCCCCCTACATAATAGTGTGGTGTGTACTGTATCCACCTCCTTGCAAAGTTGAATATGTATTTGTTTCGCTCTAAATCAAGATTTTTTTTTTTCCATCTAATTTATTTCCAGAAGTTCCAGTTGATTGATATTTGTGCTTTATTCTGTCTGCAGTCCATTCGTGAGGTGACGGGCTATGTGCTTGTGGCTCTAAATCAGTTTGAATATCTGCCCCTGGAGAATCTTCGCATCATCCGCGGCACCAGGCTGTATGAAGACCGCTACGCCCTGGCTGTATTCCTCAACTACCGCAGAGACGGCAACTTCGGTCTCCGTCAGCTTGGCCTTAAGAACCTCACAGGTACAATAGGAGCCTACGAGTCCACAGGTCACATTTTTTTTGCTTCTCTTTTGTGAATGTTCTTGATTGAGCATACATTCTTTGTTTAAGATGGTTTGTCGTTTTTTGATATCCACTTTAATGCTATGATCCCTGCTGAAATCACTCATTACAACATCAATAACTGCGTCTGGCTGAGAATGTATATCTGTCGTATATAATCACACAGTAAATTTCACTGGTCGAGGCCTTTGTGAAGTTGGCGAGTGCTTACTGATCTCTCTCGGAGAAATGAGAGGGGGAGGATTTATGAATATCATACTAAATTGATTTCACACAACTTCCATCAGAAATGACTTAGCTGGTTTTCTAACTGGTGGATGGATGAGGACCGACGCTGGCAGTGAAATACAGCTAAATATCTGCACCTGGAATTGGATCCATAAAACTCAGTGAGAGGTTTGGGGAACGCTGGAGCTTGAACAGCTTGATGATGGCACTGCTCTGATATGAACCAAGGCTTTATTATAGTTTAGATCTGTCAGTTTTGCAGGAGTGGTAAAGGCTAATCTTCTTGAGTGCCAGAGAGTCTACACCGGATAGGGTTTACCTGTGTTAAAGTTTGAATTTCTTTTGGCTATATTTGTAAACATTAAAAAATATTTCAGTGGCAATTTTATTTAAGACTACTCTGGAAGTATGCATTTCCCTAAATTGTATTTTAACGTCTCTTATTGTCACGAAACTGCTCAGAGACACGACGGTTAAGATCCGAATGCAGCTTTAATAGGGACAGTCCAGACACGTAATCCAATAAACAGGCAAAGGTCAAATACACAGGTAGGCAGTCCAAACGAACCAACAGGCAAAACAGGCAGGGGTTAGGGTCAGAGGCAGAAGAATAATCCAAGGAACAGGCAAGAAATCCAAAAACCGGGAGACAGGAATCCAGGGAGAAACGCTCGCGAATGCAGTGTAACAACATACAAAACTTCGCAGTGAGTGAATGAGTGAACATGGTATAAATAGGCTGAGACTAACAGGGTAATGAGACACAGGTGAATGCAATCAGTGATGATGAGTCCGGGCAGTGAGTTTTGGGAAATGTAGTTTGTGATGGAGTTATAAAAGTCTGGTGTGGAGTGCCCTCTGGTGGCTCTCAAGGGCACGCCAGCTGGTGACCATTACACTTATGTTCACCATTTTTATTTTCTCGGGATTCTTTAATGAATATGAAGTTTTTAAAAATCAGCATTTATAGATTTTTCTTTTTTTTTTGTAACAGTGTGCGTACTCCCACCTTTGATTAATTTAATGCACTCTTTAATGCACTCAAAAAAAAAAACTCACTGACCCCAAACTTTTGAACAATGTTTTTAAATGTTTTTTTAAGTATTTTATGGTCACCAAGGGTGCATTTATTTGGTTGAAAAAAATAAATAAACATAACAAAACAGTAATATTGTGCAAATTTCTGGCAATATAAAATAACTTTCTCATTTTAATATATTTTAAAATGTAATTATATACTGTATGTATGTATATATATATACTGAATATATAAACATGATACATCCATTTAACATGATAGTCGTACAGTGGCATATAACAGAAACATCAGTTACTCACCAAGCAGTGTGTGTGTGAATCATGTATATTTGTACAAATATAGCCTACGTTATTTTGATTTACACTAGTAAGTTAGTAACACTAAGTTACACTAAGTTTTTTCATTACATGATTGCTCATTCTTCTTAAAGGAAGAAAGCATTATGTATTTTCCATTTAGATGAGGAATAAAGACATAAGGGTAAACATAATTAATCTATTTACTGTGGTTTGTCTGTGAAGGACCTTTTTTCAACATCTCTGCTCTTTGTACCACACCTATTGTGTGGTGCCTATTAAATATTCTTCAGTATTGTTCAGTTTGAGTTCGTTAAAATGTTGTTCATTCACTGCAAGGACATACATACATGCAGTATATACTCATTCAGAGGTTTCTGAATTGTTATTTTGAATCAGTAGCTAAATTCAAATGTATGATGAATACTCATCATGGGTTAAAAAAAATATGAGGCCAAACACAAAGACAGACACCAAACACAAACCTCTGTGGAGTCAGACGTTGTGGTAAATATACATTTCATAATTCAAAACCGGAATGAGTTGGGGGGGATTTTGTAAGTGTCTCTGTTCTTTCTGCTTCACTACCAGGGCCAGTTGGAAATGTCTCTTCTTCACAGTACCTGATCATTTGTGTTATACAACAACTTCCTTCTGATTGGCTAATGGCACTAGTATAAGTGCATGGGCCTGACATTTACCATGCTCCACTTTTGTCTTCTTTGGCAAATTAATAGTATGTCTCCTCTTAAATGATCCTCCAGACACATCCATAATGGCACAGACTGTAATAGTTGTTGGAGGTGGTAGTAATTGCATCTGTACTTTTATTATGGTCACACTGTGATCATGAAACTTAACAGGACCAGAACTGTTTACGATCAAACTAGTAATCTTAACCAGCATTAATCAGTGGCGATTACCAGTCAGCCTTTGGTGTGAGGAACCAGAATGCAGAGTGTTCTTGTAATGCTGAAGAAGAAGATTTGGGCTCTAAATTGTGAGCAGTGCCACTTACTTTCTTTTCAATCCACTAAGACTATTTTCATCTGCATGTATTTATTTTTCTAATATTGTTGTCAACAGCAGTTTACAGTATACATCTTATCAGTTTGAGTTATCACATGGAATCAAATCCATCATTGAACAAATGATACATTACCAAAAAAAAACGGAGACACTTTTTTTAGGATTCTTTGATGAGAAGAAAGTTCAAAATCTGAATTTATCAAAATTTATTTGAAACAGATTTTTTTTTGTAACAGTGTAAAAGTCTTTATTTTCACTTTTGATGCATTTTATGCATACTTTGCTGAATAAAAGTATACAGTTTTTTCAAAAACATCATACTTGCCCCAAACTTTTGTACAGTAATTCTCTGAAGCTTAATCTTTAGTGCATAAGCATAAACTGATTAAAATAATTATGTCTTGAATGCAATGTAAATTGCTTTAGATGATAGTTTATGTAAAATGTATAAATGTAAATATATCCCAACTTAAAATGAGGAGGCGACTACAAGCCATTTCTAGTTTGATTCCTTCTGGTTTGTTGACTTTTTTGTATGCACAATGAATGGTATAAGTTTGGGGCGGGACTATCTGTTTGTGACCTGTGGCAGACAAGGGTAGAAAGAGTTGCACTTGTTTTTTTTTTGTTTTGTTTTTTGTTTTTTGGCGCATTGCATTGAAATTGCTTTAGTCTGTATCTCTGCAAAAGGGACAATTACGATGTGAAATATGGCTAGGTATTTAACCTAGTGCACGTAAATGGTTCAGGAACACTGTCTGTCTCTTATGGAACAATGTTTCTGGTCCAGAAAACACCGTCATTCACTTGCTGTGGCTAGGCAAAGGAAATAGAGCAGAGAGCGACATGGCATAGCAGACCGGGTAAATAATTTAAGCCGTGTGTATTGTTCCACTTACTCTGTCCCCAGTCCACTCGAAGCAGCGTACATAACCCAAATGCCACATTGCAATGCTGACATCACTTAAAGCCTAACTGTGCTTCATTAAATGCTGTATTCTTGGAAGATGACAGTGTTTAGGAACGTCGAGAAGACCAGGTGCTCCTAGAGGAGTGTGATCCCCTGTCTTTGGCAGACTAACACGGAACAGCGCTGGAGTTAAGGAACGTTTGAAATCCCAGCCATGCCCACAAGGAAGGAGACAGCACAGAAGCTCTGCTCACTCGTTTACTCACAATCTCTCATCCATCTCTCTTCCTGCATACATTCAATGGTTACACTTTATTTTAAGGTGACGTAGTTACATTGTACTAACTCAAATAAGTGCTGAGTAGTATTAATTAACTACATGTACTTACTGTAGAGTTATGGTTAGCGTTTGGTTTAGGGTTGGTTGTAAATATGCTTAAGTTCCTAAAATAAATACATGTAGTAACTTGTAACTATACGTTAAAGTGTCACCCATTCATTCTTTTCTTGTTCTCCGAAGTCTTTGTGAAATTGACTTTCGCTGCCCTCTCAACTTTATCTGTATATTTCTCGTGCTTTCATTGAGCAGTACAGCAAAGTATTATAGAGGCCTAGAAGAAGCTGCATGTTTCTTCCACAGCAATAAGAAAGCGACTTCGGAATTGTAGCGAGCTTGTTCTTTCAAAGATAGTTCACCCAAAAGTGAAAATTGTCATTAATTACTCGCCCTCATGTAGTACCAAACTTTCATGACTTTCCTTCTTCTGTGGAAAGCAGATATTTTGGAGAGAATAAAAAATATCTGTGTTTTTTGCTGGTGCAATGAAATTCAACAGGGTCTAGTGTTGTTTATGCCCTGTCAAACCTATATGCATAGCTTGCAACAACATAAGGGGGAGTAAATGATGGCATAACTTAAAACTTCCAAATGAATTGACTCAGTAAAATGAATCGAATAATTGCAGGATTCCATGGGTGACGTGAGTCGTGACACAAATAGAGCAATGTAACGTTTTATCAAAGTTTGCCACCACTTGTTGGAAATACTAGGAAGAAACCGCTTAGTCACTTACTCCCAACACTGGTCTTCTAAATGTTGAACTCAGTCAGCGCCCTGTAACCCTGAGACAGATCAAAGCTGGAACAGAGCCCGGTAACATCTCTCTCGCTCTCCGTCAAGGACTATCAGCTTGTCAGACCTACATTATGAGCCTTTTGATCCCCCGTCACATTATCATGTCATTCCTCTCATAGCAGTTCTCCAGAGATGTGTAAAGTGATCAATACCATCCATAAATGATATCTAAGAGAATAAAGGCTATTAACTGCGCTGGGTCTAATCCCGAATCTGATCAAACCAGCCTGTCGGCATTGCTACTAGAGTTGAAATCCACAGAGGTATAAATTGCCCTGGATAAAATCAATTTGTCGCTGGTATATTCTGATATTGCTCTAT